CCCCCTCCCCCCCCCCCCCCCCCCCCCCCCCCCCCTCTCTCTCTCCCTCCCTCCCTCCCCCACCTCTGATCCCCTCTGCAATTACAGCAACACTCCGAGACAGGGGAAATGGGTTGCCTGGTAACAGGATGCAGCTGGACCAATAGCATCGCCCCAAATGAGTTGACTGTAATGTGTTTAAACAGAGGGAGAGAGAACAAGAGGCAGGGAGGAAGAGGAGGAGGAGGGGTAGTACTGATGGAGAGGGGGAAGAAAGAGCACAAAGAAAAGATAAAATAGAAAGAATAAACAAAGACAGTAGAATCTACAGATGGAGACGATGATATACGACTTCCTAGAGAGGATGTAGGGTTTCTATTAGAATCATTTCCTCAAAACACACACACACACACACACACACACACACACACACACAATATAAACCCATAAATGGCACAATGCTGCGACAAAAACAAAAGGCCAGATGTGTCCCAAGAGATGCTTTCAATGAGAGTCAAGGAGACTTTTGGGAGAACCTGACAAAACCCATCTGTGATCAGTATTAAGTGACACAAAACCACACAAAGAGAGAAAGAAGGCAACATTCTCGATATTATATTGATATCGTCTTACATTTCTGATATTACCCGACTGTTCTATTATTTGCCTTCAAAATTATGTAAATATTTTGTAAAAGCACCAATAGTCAACCCTACAATATCATCGCAATGAGACGAGAGTGATCACCTGCTGAGCAAACAAAACAACCAGAGAGAGAAAGAAACAGCAGCTGAGATCCAGCGAGAGAAACTGAAGAACCCCGTCTCTCTCTGACGTTTCATCACCTACAGGAGCTCAGACAACCTGTAACTCCATTAATCATCTTCACAACATCTGTTCAGAAGTGACTTGTCAGCAGTAACTCCACAGATCCCGCCCTCACCATCTATCTATATCTATATCTATATATCTATATATATATATATATATAAATAAATAAAATACAGAGGATGAAGTCTTCTTTCACACCTTCTCCTCACACCTCCCTCCCTCCCTCCCTCTCTCTCTCTCTCTCTCTCTCTCTCTCTCTCTCTCTCTAGGGGGAGGGGTCATGTCTGAATCAACCTGGGCATGATGACATCTCTCCCCAGCTCTGTAACCATAACAACGCCAGCCAACCGAGAAATGCCGCTCTCCTCCCCCTGGCTGTCAGATTGCCCTTTATCAATCCCTCCCTCCCTCCCTCCCAGTCTGTTTCCTGTCCTTGGCTAATGCATCTTTCTTTTCACCCCCCTCTGCTCTCTCTCTCTCTCTCTGTTCTCCCCCCCTCTCTCCCTCTTCTTCCTCCATTCTGTGTCATTTCTCCAGTAAAATCCCCCCCAACACAACAACCTCTCACACCACTCAGTAGTATAATAATATAGTTTTTTGTTGCGAGTTGTTAGCTCTCTCTCCCGTTTATACCCACCTTTGGGAGTCGGGCTGCGAGATGGCGTTGACTATCGCCTCCACCGCCGTGTCGAAGAGCTCCGGGTCGGGCAGGGCGCTGAAGCAGTCGTGCACCAGGTCCTCGCTCTCGTTGAGGGGAACGTCCAACAGCACCCAGGACGACAGGCAGCGCAGCACGCGAGCTTTCACCGCCCCGGGGCTGTCCGTCCGCAGCAGTTGCTGCAGTAACGGACCCACCGACCCCCACTCCCGGCCCAGGGCGCCCCGAACCTAAAGAGGGAGGAGGAGGGTAGCGAGGGTCAGACTGCTACTGTATCGTGTTCCTCCGGTTAATAGGGAGGCTCAGTTTAAGGTTTTCTATACTTCCATTACGTCGCTGTTAACACAACAATTTGACGGTTACTTTTTGGAAAATAATCTTAAATATTACTGAGAAGGTGGTTCCTGCAGACGTACCTGTCCTTTTCTGTACTGCGGCAGGCGGCTGGTCTGGAACTCCTCGGGCAGGACGGTGAGCAGCTCCAGCAACGCCAGGCAGCGCGCCCGCCCGTCCACCCCTCCCCCCTCCTCCTGGAACACCCGCACCATCTCGGCCACGGCGCCGGGCCAGGCCTCGGGCATGGTGTTGAGTGCCAGGGAGGCCAGGGCCACGCAGAGCCGGGTGAGCACCATCTTGGAGCCGGCGGAGAAGCAGGCAATCTGGGAGAACAGCTGGGTCTTCAGAGACTCGTACTGGTCTGTGGGGATGTCGGACCAGTAGCGAGAGATCTTGGTGTGAAGCGCGCTAGCGCCAAAGTACTGGATCTCTGGCACCTGTGAGAGACCATGAGATCAATGTTGTGTTGACATTCACGTCAATATTATTGAGTACTTTTCTGTTTTTGATGCTTTGACGACAAGCATTTGAAGGCGTTCATGCCAATAAAAATGACGCAAAATGCTTTTTCAGTGTGTGTGTTTCCATGTGTGTGTGTGTGTGTGTGTACACGATACCTTATCTGGGCTCAGGAGGTTCCAGCAGAACTGCCAGGCCTGAGGCGAGACCTGAGCCTGCATGAGCCACTTCTGGGCCAGATTCTTGTTTTCAATATTGGGATCATAGTACAGCTGGTGGAGAGCCTGGAAATGAAGAAGAGGAGAGTAAAGAAGTCAAAGAATCCATACAGTCTGTGAATGGTTTAACCATGAGGGGGTTCATTTGAGACATGTTTGCAAATACACTACACATGTTGACAACAGCGGGTATCAGAGAAACACAGTCCTTTGAGCTCTTGTGTGATGAAAAGAGCTGGTTATCTTGAGAGAAAAGAGCATCTTTTCTCGCGCGCAACCAGGCAAGCACACCGTGAGTAGACAGTTTACCTCGAAAACCTGAGCAATGGAGAAAGCAATGACCTGAGAACAGCACTCTCTCTGAAGTACAGCTCGGAGTAATTTGAGCACTTGAGTGCAGGGAGAACAAGAGGACGCAAGCCAAAGAGAAAGCAGATAAAGGATGAGAATGAGAGAGGGAAATAAAAGAAAGGGGGGAAAGGGAGCATTAATTAAAGAGACGCCTCTAATCCTGGCAGTGCCAGAAGAGAGGATTTGACACTACTTTCTCTTTCTTTCTGTCTCACACACAAACACACATGAACATGCTCACTGAACTCAAACTGCTAGCAGCCAATGTCTGACAACCAACAAAAAAAAAAAAAAATCTATTCAGCGCGCTTCTGATTCTTGTCTTTGCCCCTGAAGCCCGCTCACATAAATTCCTCCACCAGCAGTCATCCTCTCCTCTTTCCTCCTCCTCTCTTAATTTGCCTCCCTCCAGCCTAAACTGTCCAACCCGCTTCATTCCATAGCTCTCTCTACATCTCTCCCCGTTCCCTCATCAGAGAAGTTCAAGCTATCACACAAGGTGGGGATGAACGATACGGTGTAGAAACCAGGACGTAGGATGATGCTGCATGCTGCAGCTGTAGAGAGGAACATCATCTCTCTCTCTCTCTCTCTCTCTCTCTCTCTCTCTCTCTC